TCTCGCTCATTGCCGAGTGCTGAATCGAACTCGGCGGCGGTGCACGTGCCCGGGCTGGTTTCCCACTTTTATGGTGCAGATATAGAATTTCCGGCAAAGATTCTCTGCATCCTTGGTTGTAGAGAGTCTCTACAATTGACTATATGAGTGAATAGCATTGGCTTACTCAGTGGGCTCCGTGGTTAAAAAGATGTTTTATATTAATTATATAATGAATATCATTATGCGATCTGTTAAAAATAGTAATTAGAGAGGATAGTTAGTTCCCTCTCTTGGATGTTATTTATAATATCATAAAGAAACAACTCTCAACATTTTTCCTCAAGCTGAGCATATATATTATACTAGGTTTTATGCACGTGGTTAAACACTATGATTAAGTATTTTTGATTTATTTCTTTACTAAAATTTATTCCTCAGTTCCACTTTGATTTTTTTGCTCACTTATCTTTTTTAAACTTTAGTATTGTGATTATTTATTTTCTTTAATGTTTATTTGCATGGGCTACACCAAGCTTAAAATTTTCATGTTAATAATTGAATTGACAAGAAATAAATGTAATCTAAAGCTAATTTGAATTTTCACGTTATTTGGATCGGCATGAAACCAAGCTTGACTTGAGAAAGTATAATATTGGAAAAGTGAAAAATACTTGAAAAAAATAGCGTTATAAAAGAAGGATGAATAACTAAAGACAATAAATCAAGATGATTAATTAAAAGTGGGCTAGAATGAAACTAAAGAAAATATAAATTTTGTTGCTAATCATTGATAAACTTTAGAAAAAATTATAAAATAAAGATTAATGCTAATTCTAGTGTACTTTTATATGATAAAAACATCCACATAACCATATAAAAATATTAAAAGAGTTCATGAAAATCCATTCTAAAGATTACTGATTTTACTAAAAAAAATAAGCTATTCTATAAAATATTCAATAATTTAAATTTGTGTTGTATTTATAAAGAGCCTTGATAGAGATATTTTTGTTTTAATAGCTTGTTCTGAATGAGGCCTGCATATTAGCTTTAAAGTGTAATAGTTTTTCTTTATCATGTTATATGGATGTTTGCTTGGTTTACTTATCATTCTCTTATTTCTTCAATAAGTTGTATCTTTGGATTGAAATATATTATTAACACAATTTACGATAACATGCATATCTTTCCTATAAATTTGAGATAGATATAAGGTGAATTTTATTTTTAGTAGCCTTTAATAAGAATTTTAGTTATAAAATATGTTACTTTCATATTTAAAAATCTTAAAATCTGACAATACTATTATATACATGCCTTTGTTGGCGTCCTTAAAAATTTATTTGACATCAAAAAGTACTCCTCCATCTTTGGTTCCAGCTTCTTCGCCTACTAGACTGTCGTCAGGGTCTTGTCTTGTCTTTTATGTCGACCATATCGGACCGTCTCGTTTCAAAAACGCGTAGCATTGTTAGTATTCTTGGTGTGGCTATTTTGTTTCTTTTAGTTCTCCCATTAGATCTGATCGATACAACTTAGTCATAATTAAAAAGCAAGTCGTAATCATAGATCATACATCCAAGGCGCACTACAAGTGTTGATAGGTGTACGTTTGAAAATAATCTTAGTTTCTTGTTGGTACTTATCCTTGAAGCTAATGATGTTTGGAGTCGAGAACTTTTAAAAGAGAGAGAGAGAGAGGTGAAAACTCGAACATATACAAGTGAAGTGATCATTGGCAGCATATGAACGAGATTTGGAAAGTTCATAGGGGCGGATTTCGATCCTCTCCACTACAAAAAAAGTAGTGGAGAGACCACTACTTTTAATCCTAATCGTTGATTTATGAAAGAGAGAGAGGCAAAAACTCACACATACACAAGTGATCATGGGCAACATATGAACGGGATTTGGAAAGTTCATAGGGGCCATGTGTTTAATCATGACAAGCCTATTCACTACTCTTTCATTGAACGTAATTAATAAGCTTGATTAACTAGTATTAGAGAGAGGTAAGCCATCGCGAGTCCTCTTCAAATACTAAATATATATTAAATTAAGTAAATGCTAGAACATCAATTACGCAAGCACAGTGTTATGATACTCGATCTTTTACTAAATGGATGGATATCAATACCCCCACTAATCCCATTCTACTATAATTATCCTGTTCCCACATCACCCTACTTACTGAACGCAAGCATGGTTTCCTTCCATGATGATTTCTTGGTACATTCTCAATTACTCATTGACGTCCACGCGTGTCACCAAAACACCATCATTCTTAACACTAGAAACTATAGGGGAAAAAAATTGGTGTGAAGTTCAAAGTTCCCAACTCTTTAACAGCTAAAAATTTACTGTTCACAGCACAACAACTACTGTAGTATTTGCTGTAGCATGAATAGTGATTCTTTGGATCCTCTTGTAAGTATAGAAGAGTAGATTAGATTATGTGAATCAAAGTTCAAGAACTCATTTCATAGATTTTTATTGAAAAAAGGTGAAAAACCATCAAAAGCGGTTCCTTCCCCTTATTTTCTTGTTCTTTAGTTTCTAAGAAACCAATCAAAGAGTCAGTGAAAGTATTCAGCGAAGACGGTTCATGATATTAAATATGTACTCAGAGAATATCAACTAATCGATCGTTAAACTTCATAACTAGCGCACTAATCTAAGATTTGATATCATTGAATACACTTTGAATGCATAGACCAAGGTCCGCATGATACTCTCTCTCGTCAATTGTCCTCTGAACGAGATTGGGTATCAAATGCATTAGACAACTAGCAGCACGAGCCACCATTTTTGGTTCCATTCCGGTTGGACTAGTAAACAAAATAGTAGCACAAGCCATCCAATCAAATTCTTCCACGTTGGCATCTTCTTGAAATATCGGATCTCGCAAATCCTAATCACTCACAGTGACTGCGTGAAATCCCAAGACCTAAATCCATGCTCATTTAATCCCACACTGCCACTCGGTCAAGGCACGTGGGTCCCACAATACTTAAAAGTCTAAGTTGCTCGTGCCGCTACGGCCAACCGGCGAAATCCATCCAAAAAGCCTATAAACAAGACCGCCACCGTTACGGGGAACATGAGCCTAGCTCTGTTTTGCACGTTAGTACCTATGGTCTTTGTATTGGTTTCTTAACTAACATTTTGATACTTTATTTATCTCCCCCCCCCCTGTGAAGAGGGATGAGAATCTCTCGTACGTATTTTCATTGTATAATAATGTTTTCATTGTTGGTGTACTAGTGATCACAATCAATATGTATCTGTGTTTGGACGAGTTTGTTAAGGATTGATGAGATGTCGCTTTATTCCCCGACTTTATATCTGGTTCTTGAGTTGGGAATCTGAAAAATATACACGAGTAGAAATTTGTGAGAGGACGTGGCTTGGTTCCCCCGTTGTACCTCCGGCGATCAAGTTAGCTGATGAACTTGAGTGGAGTAAATAAGAACTGTGAGAGTTCTTGTGTGTGTGCAGTATGATTTGCAATTTTAGAGAAATTGGATCAGAATCCAGAAATTAGGATCTGAGGGGTCAAATCTTTGATCCCTTGTAAAGACAGAATAATACCTGTATTTATACCTAGAGTATAAAGGTAGATTGGTCACTTCGGTCGAGCACTGAGAGGTGGTAGCGAAGTGTGGGGCTGGCGGTTGCGTCAGCACTTGCTTTACATGTGTCAGCTGGTGTTTGGCGAAGGATCACTTCAGTATTAAATGAGAAGTGAGTGGTGGCATAGTAGTGCCCCACGTGGTCCGATGTGTCATGAATGCTATCGGGGCTAGAGGCATGATACGCCTGTCATGTATTAAATGCGATGTTGACACGTTGCTAGTGAAGATAGGCTCGAGGAAGAGGTTGTCCTTTAGTTTCGCTGAGAAGTAACGCCTTTTGAGTCGTCTGGAAAACGATCAAGTGGACTCATGGTGAGTCGTCTTCGACAAAAGGGGCGATAAGTATCGCCTTTCGAGTCGACATGTAGGGATGTCGACTCGACAAGTTGACTGGGTTGTCGTCCATACTAGTCTCTGTCCGCCAAGTTAATTAGAACATAACATGTAGAAGTATACTTGTCTGTTGCTTGGCACTGAGTTGCACTCAGGAGAACGAGAACACCATAACAAATAATATCTCAAAAAATAAATATAAGAGCAAAGTATTAGTTTGTACACTCAAAAGTTGAACTACAAAAGCAACACAAATCAAAGTTATGACAGTACATTTTTATATTCTTGAAGAATCTGAATTAATTTATTACTTTTTAATATAAGACAACGCAAAGCTCTTCAACTTTATTTTTCCACTGGAAGCTTCGATTAAAAGTAAAATGAGAAGATGTGATTTATGTAAAATTAAGGCTAGACAGAGAACAAACAGGCTAGTTAGCTCATTCTCTTTTTCTTTTTGGAAATCAATTTGAAAAGCATTACCTTTCCTTCTTAAATCACCTTTAAAGATTTTAAAAGAAAAAAGAGTGTTAAATAAAATGAACGAGTAATAAAACTACAATAACTCAGTCGTTAAATCTTATATCTATATTAATATTAATGGGAGCATCATCTTTGCCCTTCTTTGACATTTCGGCATCTATAAATAACTCTCAAAATGAAATTATAAAGCTAAAATAACTTATTCTTAAACAAGATAAACAAAAATGAACTAGAATGTCTCAAATGATTCGCTTTGTTCAAGTACATATAGTCAAACTAGTATTGCACATGTCAACTATTCAAATTTTATAAAAAATAACTTGTAAAATTCATATACGGTTGAGTCAGTAACTCTTATACTCTAGTAAGTTACAAAATTCGTATGAGGGCCAATAAGAGTACAACGTATTGCCGGTAGCAAAAAGCTGCGAATCCGTAGTTCTTTTAAGGACTAAAGTGAAAAAACAACGCCCTACAAAATAGCGGACCCCGTCCTCTTCTCCCTCTCGTTCAAGCAGCGGCATGCATGATCCCCTTCCTCAGCTC